AATTAGATTACCTAAAGGTATAGTTCACCCAAAAATTATAATTCTGTCATCATTTACTCTCCCTTAACTTGTTTAAAACCTATTTGGCTTTCTTTCTACTGTTGAACACAAAAGAAGATAATTTGAAAAATGTTGAATGACGGCACTCATTGACTACCATAGTATTAATCTTCTACTATTAAAGTCTATAGGTCCCAGCAACCAGCATTCTTCAAAATATCTTGAAAATGTCATACAAGTAGGTAAAGAAATAGACTATGAGTACAGTTCACCCAAAAATGACAATTTGATCATCATTAACTCTACCTTTATGTGTTCAAAACCTATTTGAGTTTCTTTCTACTATTGAACACAAAAGAAGATATTTTGAAAAATGTACTATCCTTCTGTAGTACTTCTTCTCCTATATTGAAGTCAATGAGTCCCAGCAATCAGCATTCTTCAAAATATCTTGAAAATGTCATATAAGTAGGTAAATAAATAGACTATGGGAGACTTTGCAGTTTAGCGATTTTACCTTAACTTTAGTTCAACAACACCATTTGCACCATACTAATGTGTTATTTATTTTTTTTAGTGTGTGTGTGTGTGTTTGTTGATATATTAGATTACTTAAAGTGAAATTTCACCCAAAAATGACAATTCTTTTATTATTTACCCTCCCTTCACTTGTTCAAAACCTATTTGAGTTCTTTATACTGTTGAACACAAAAGAAGATACTTTGAAAAATGCTGAGTGCTGGTACCCATTAACTTGTATATTATTTTGCCCCCTACTATTAAAGTCAATGGGTCCCAGCAATCAGCATTCTTCAAAATATCTTAAAAATGTCATAATAGTAAAGAAATAGGCTATGAGAAACTTTGCAGTATAGAGATTTTACCTTAACTGTTATTTAACAACCGCTCTATTCTGTTTTTTTGTTTGTTAGTTTGTGTGTGTGTGTGTGTGTGTGTGTGTGTGTGTGTGTGTGTGTGTGTGTGTGTGTGTGTGTGTTTGTGTGTTAATCTGTTAGATTACTTAAAGGTATAGCTCACAAAAAATGACATTTCTGCAATTGAAGTCAGTGGGTCCCAGCAACCAGCATTCTTCAAAATATCCTCTTTTATGATTAAACAGAAGAAAGAAACTTATAAACATTTAAAATCAAAAGAGGGAGAGTAAATGATTCTCATTTTTGGGTCAACTATATCCCTCTAATATAAGAAATATTATTTGAGGGTTATCTGCACTCATGATAGTCTTTTAATTAATTTTATTTTATATTCATTACTGACAAATTACAAGCATTTTCAAAAGCCTTCCTCAGTGTGCAGAGCAATTAAATCCCTCACTTTTAAAATCACTGGTTATATTGACGTCATTATTCATTAGCCAATATTCAATTACTCAAAAAAATTGCCAGCCAATCTCCAAAATAACCAGCCGGCTTTTTAATTTTCTTTTGTAAACTACAGCAATTTCTTTCCAGTTACGAAGCTCAAATTAAGCCCTTAAACAAATGGATGACAATGATAGCTTGTGTTTTAAAATGTCATAAAAGTAGTTAAAGAAATAGGCCATGAGAGACTTTCCAGCGTAGCGATTTTACCTTAACTGTAGTTAAAATCATTGTTATGCACCTCAAGTGGCTTATTACTTTAAAAACAGTGTGAATTAAATTAGCATTAAAAATCAATAAACAATTCTTCTGACATTTAATACAGCTCATAAGCTTAACTGTAGCTTGTTTACAGTTGTTTTACCAACTTTGCTTTCATCAGCAGTTTTTCTTATAGAGAAGCTCTTTAAAGGGATACAGTGCATCCGGAAAGTATTCGCTTCACTTTTTCCAAATTTTTTTTATGTTACAGCCTTATTCAAAAATGGATTAAATTAATTTATTTCCACAAAATTCTACACACAATACCCCATAATGACAATGAAAAAAAGAGTTTATTATTATTTATTACAAATACAAAACCTGAAAAATCACATGTACTCAGTATTCACAGCCTTTGCCGTGAAGCTGTAAATTGAGCTCAGGTACATTCTGTTTCCACTGATCATTATTAAGATGTTTCAGCAGCTTAACTGGAGTTCACTTGGGGTAAATTCAGTTTATTGAACATGATTTGAAAAGGCATACACCTGTCTATATAAGGTCCCAGGGTTGACAGTGCATGTCAAAGCACAAACCAAGCATGAAGACAAAGGAATTGTCTGTAGACCTCCAAGACAGGATTGTCTTGAGCCACAAGGCTGGGGAAGGTTACAGAAGAATTTCTGAAAAGTTCCATTGAGCACAATGGCCTCCATCATCCATAAGATGTTTGGAACCACCAGGACTCTTCCTAGAGCTGGCCGGCCATCTAAGCTGAGTGATCGGGGGAGAAGGGACCTAGTGAGGGAGGTGATCAATAACCTGATGGTCACTCTGTCTGAGCTTCAGTGTTCTTCTGTGGAGAGAGGAGAATCTTACAGTAGGGCAACCATCTGTGCAGCAATCCACCAATCAGGCCTGTATGGTAGAGTGGCCAGACAGAAACCCCTACCCGCCTTAAATTTGCCAAAAGGCATCTGAAGGACTCTCAGAACAACATTCTCTGGTCTGATGAGACTAAAATTAAACTCTTTGGAGTTAATGCCAGGTGTTACGTTTGGAGAAAACCAGGTTCATCACCAGGCTAATACGATCCCTACAGTGGAGCATGGTGGTGGCAGCATCATGCTGTGGGGATGTTTTTTAGTAGCAGGAACTGGAAGACTAGTCAGGATAGAGGGAAAGATGAATGCAGCAATGTACAGAGACATCCTGGATGAAAACCTGCTTCAGAGTGCTCTTGAGCTCAGACTGGGGCGACGGTTCATCTTCCAGCAGGACAATGACCCAAAGCACACCGTCAAAATATCAATAGAGTGGCTTCACAACAACTCGGTAAATGTCCTTGAGTGGCCCAGCCAGAGGCCAGACCTAAATCCTATTGAAGACAGGTGTGCCAAGCTTGTGGTATCATATTCATAAAGACTTGAGGCTGTAATTGCTGCCAAAGGTGCATCAACAAAGTACTGAGCAAAGTTTTTTTTTTTTTAATACATTTTCAACAATTTTAAAAACTTTTTTCACATTGTCATTATGGGGTATTGTGTGTATAATTTTGAAAAAAGTGAAGCACTATGAAAATTTGACGAATGAACTGTATCATAAAGTTTGACTCATATATAACGCTATACATGCATGCACACACAGGATACTTGTTTCTGCATCTGTAGGTTCAACCAGACTGACATCATCCCTCTTATCCCTGGCTGACCAATCTGATGGCCCTGTGTGATCTGATATCAGCGTCTCATTAGCAATCAGTGGGAGATGGGTCTGACTGCTCCTTAGTCACGCATGTCATGTTCATGCAGACACCTGAAGATCTGGCTTTGATTTAAGCTGAGACGGAATACACCTCATTATAATGTATTTAGCCGTGCTGGGATAACCTGTTTAAAAGTAGTATCAATATAACCATTTATATGCATTATATGCAGATATACATATTTTTAAAAATACATATAAACACATTTAGATCATTTACTTTAATCTTTACTATTGGACTGTTCAGAGACTTTCAAAGAGCACAACAAAACATGTTTAAGAAGACAATCGCCTACTGCACCTTTAAGACATTGTAAGACTTTTTAAGACCCCACAGATACCCTGGAATAGATTGATTGTCAATACCTACAGTTTGTTAGCAGCTTGCACTGTAGCTTTATAGTATTCCTAAAAGTGTTTTTTGATTGCATTATACTTAATAACACTTGTTTTAACCACATTTTATCGAATCAAACATGAAAGTAAAATGCAGGAACAGCCCCCTTACTCACTCCTTACTGTAGCAACATGAGCGTCCATTGGTCTATTAATGTTGATTGCCGACACGCTAATGCGTAATAGATGGTTAGAAAGCCAGGGCTATCCGAGGATGTGCACTTCTCTTTTTTGTGTCTATCCCTTTCTCTCTCTCTCCTTTCACACAATCTCTTTCTCCACTATCAATGCAATCCCGGGGCTTCAGTCCTCTCTGCCTCCGCTGGGTTTCAAATCAAGGTCTAATGGACCCAATCTGGTGGCTTTTTAAGGCAAAGGGACAGTGCAATACAGTGGTAATTGCGCTCTAATTCAGTTGAACTCCCAATATCTAATCAGACAGCTCCAAATTCCCTCGCCAGCCCCAAGGACACCCGCCCTCCTCTGCAAACAGCTAATAAAACGAGGGATTTATCCCCCTCCTCCTGGTCTTCCTCAACCCTCACTACTTAAATAATGGCAACCTGCCTGCTGTAGAGCGGCGCACACATTTACTGTATGAAACGCTACGCCGCTCTCAATGACGCTTTGAATTTCTGCCACGGCGGCGAGCGCAATAGGTGCGCTGCCAAAATACACTTAACATTGATTTAGGATATTCAAAAAGCATGAGCGTTCCTCCAGACGGTCAGCGGGCCCTCCTGCTGAGCACGATGAAAGCCGCACGCGCAAAAAAAAGGTTGAGGAAGCTTCAAAGAGCGGCTCGGATGAATACTACATGACATAAAAATGCACTCGAAAATGTACAGGAGCAGCTTAACCTGAAAGGAGGAGTGAAATGTGTAAGACTGTCAAACGAACAGATATTCTGAGCTCGGCGAGTGATACGGGGCTTGTTTGGGAGACGTGCGCGCCTCGCCTAGCCGTCTGGCAGAGGGAAGCGTTTCTTCACGGACAGTTATGAGAAGAAGCGCTAGCACGGATAATCTGGCCTGTCACACTGCTGTCCCATTACGCTGAAGTGCTGCGGCGAACACATTACAGCAGCTTTGGCACGTAACGCAGTGTGCTCTCAGGATGTCATTGACCAATGATCAATGAGTCCCGCTAAAGCATGTAAGGACACTGAATCTTGCTCTTTAACAACCGTCCTGTAGTTTTTGGCACTGTTGGCTGGCTGCGCAGATTGATTGGATGGATTTGGGAGCAGATACTCACGGTCTAAATGGCTTTGCCGAATGCCTTCCACGTCCTCTGCGTGAATGAAGTGATAACATCTCTTGCCTACGATGTCGACAGGTGTCAGGTCCATGTAGTCGCTGATTCTGCAAAGGATTGTTACAGCATGAAAATTCACACTTTTTTTTTTTACAATATATTTACCCCTCCTAATGAATTTATACTCTGTTTTACTATTACAGGTTGGGTCATTATCACTGTAAAGTGCCTTTGAGACATCAACATTTTCCCCCCAAAAAAGTTTGAGATTTTTTTTTTAACCACATGGTTGTTGTATTAATTAGACATAGGGCTGTAAGAAATTAATGTTGGTCAAGCTTCTGCACTTTTTACAAATAGTCTGCCAGCAGAAAAACAGTAAACAAACCTCAAATTATGTCAACCTTGTCATGGACAAATTTAAAGTAGTATATTTTCATTGCAGTGTGATTATAAAATGTATATTTTTTGAAAGGTAATGTGTCCCTTTACCAACCCAACTTCATAGATTATGGAAAAAGTTTATTTATATTAATAAAATAATGGACAAAACATTTATTTACCAATGAAATATGCAACCGTTGCACATTCTTTTCTAAATAAAACCCAAGATCTAAAATATTTTGTCAAACTTTTAAACCATTTTAGCTGGCCCTTGTTATTTAAGAAATCACGCAAGATGTTTTGCTGAGATTATAAATAATTTGCTTATTTTCATAAAAAACAAGATGACAGGGTGGACATTGGCATGACAGGGTGGATAAAGGCTTTATTTAGTGAACTAATTATGGTGAAACATTTGAAAAACAACAGGTACAACATGAAATATTAAAGGGTTAATATAAAAGGGTTGTAAAAGTTTTAAAAATTTCAGCTGGTCACACTTTATTTTGATGGTCCGTTTGTTACATTGCATCTACATGTCAACTAATTCTCATCAGATTATGAGTAGACTGTTAGGTTAGGGTTGGGGTTAGTGTAAGTTGACATGTACTTGCAAAGTTTCTTATAGTCTGTTAAATGTCTGTTGAAGTAGCAGTATCAACGATATTAAGCAGACAGTCCACTAATACTCAACTGGACCATCAAAATAAAGTGTTACCATTCAACTTCTGTTTTCACTAACTACTGCAAACCACTGAGCCACTATGCCCCCTCTTCTGTTATTAATTAGGATTTATCAATATGCAAATTAATAGAAAAACTATAGTCCTTCAAATTAAACTGAATTTGCTAATGAATGTAAATCTTTTCATTGTACATCATATTGGAGGAGTGAAACTCACTACAGTTTGACAAATATTGCTGCTGTTTGACAACATAATGTACTTTTGAGCCTTTTTTTAAGCGAGAATGTAGTTATTTAGATTGCAACTATGCAGTTTATTTTTAAGGATAATGCCTATTTTAAATATTTACAATTTCAGAGATTCAGTGTGTTGGCATCATTCAGCCTGTTATACTGAGCAGAGCAAAGATGGTTGACGCTGTTCATCCACAAGATGGCGACAGAGACAACATGATAACCAATCTAAAGAGAAAAGATCGAAGTATTTTTAAACGACAGATGATCAAAACATTATAAAATTGGTGACATTCTAAGTCGATCTCTCTCTTTTTTATGTTGCAGTGCTTTATTTATACTATAGTAATTGTTGTGTATTGAGTGTGAGGACTGGGGCTCACATATCAGGAATGTATGTATCTTTGTATAACCCTGACTTTTTGGTTGTCTATCTTTGTTTCTCATGCGTCTCCTGTTTTCATTAATGCAGACTAGTTCAGTAAACAGAGAGAAGAAATGCCCGCATGTGTTTAGTGTTTTTTCTTATCACAAACACAACAGTAATCTGGTAGTGATTGCGCTGCTTTGGCTTTTTTGAGGTTAATTACTGTGATCTCCTGATTGCAACAGAGAAATACTGGGAAATCTCTGTAGACTGATGGCATTTCATGCTGTTCAGCCTTATAATCCTAAAATATGAGTAAAATCACCTGTTTTATCATCACTTAGACATTACGCTAGAGAATCGTTCAAATACTAGCTTTAAAGTGATGTTGGTGAAGTAGTAAATGGTTTCTGCTGTTCTGACGTTTAGCTGCAGATGTGAATGTATGGTGGAAGAAAGTAGTTCCTCATACAAAAGGGTTTTTACTCTCCGTATTTGATTTTCTTTTTTATACACACGATTATGCTGTCGAACTGTCGCATAAACGCAATATCACACTCATAGCAGTGCAATATGACACTGTATATCGTATATCGACACTGGTGGGACACTAAGGCAAGGCACGCCATATCGCACTGCTACAAGTGTGATATTGCTCATATATATATATATATATATATACACACACACACACACACACACACACACACACACACACACACACACACACACACACACACACAAACATATATATACACTAGTTCATTAATTTTAATTAATCATTGATTAATATAACTTTTGATTTTGAGAGTCCTAAAGTATAGTTTCATTTCATTATTAAAATTACAACTTTATAATAGATTTCTTCTTGGTCAAAAATTAATCCCAAGTTATTATGTGGGTTATTGATGGCGCCAGTATCTGCCAACCATGTAATCACAAGTAAACAGAAGTTTTGTCAGGTTCCTGTGCTGTTCTGATCCAGCAAAAGCACTGGCTCCATCATTTTATCACTGAATAGTCAACCAAAAAGAACCCAATCAGATCTTACTGTGGGTTATCATCGTTTTTCAGTCAATGACAGACTAAACTAGGGCAAAGACCTGATTTCGAGTCAACCTTACTGATAAGGAGATTCTGATTTCCCAGCCCTTCTGTAAGCTAAATATACAGTGCACCAGATTTTATTCATTAAAAAGGTTTCCATCTGTGATGGCACGCTGTCAGCCTGTTTTTATTATAGACCTAATATTTTCTGACCTACTGTAGCTTTACTAACTGCTTGCTGAATCTAAAAGCAATTATCACAGAAGTATTGAAAATTTGATAAAAACAGGTGGTTAAAACCAAACGAAATGCCTTTCAGCTGGGAAAATACTATTAGCAGAGACATTATTTGACTCAAACCTCTGTGCAGTCCTTTTCTACACGGACCAGCGAACATAGCCAGTATAAAAAACGGCAAGCCGATCTCTATCCACCTCCATTTTAAAGCAAGCTTTTTCTGTGGTGATAACTCGGCTATAGACTTGGCGCGTTTCCATTCTCTCATAAATATGTTAAGTGCAGGGGAGTGGTAAAAATTTTAGCAGACACTGGGATGACTTCAATCCCAGAGATATAAATAAAACTAATAAAACTAATATGATATTTCCTTTCAAGCCTGGCCAAATGAAGATGTTCTCATTTTATGGGGCAGCGGTGGAACCACAGATGTTTTGTAAGTACAAAAGAGCTTCTTTTTTTTCTTGGCTGGCTTTTCAAACGAGCGATAGATGTTGAAACAAGGTCATTCTGGGATTGCGTTTAAGCAGAACTCATCACTATCAGCTCTATAATGAACTGCACATGAACATTACTGTGTGGCTGATTATCCACTCTTGCAAAACACATTTTCACCCGCTGATCCTTCAGTTCTATAATAATGTCATATTTTGGACTCTAAGCAGCTGAAATTGAAAATCTTTTTTTTTTTTTTTTTTTTTTGCACCGTTTATCATTCTTTAGGGCTGTAAAGAAAATCTCAAATCAAATTGCACACAATACCAGGCTTATACTAAATTGTGCATATAAGCTTCGCAAAATAAGCTTCAATGTGAAATTATAGATTAACATTAGGCGCATTTCACCGCCCTTCGACATGATTGTTAAAAGTGCCCCTATTATGCAAATTTAAACATTCCTAATTTCAATTTGTAGGTCTCCTTCAAAAGGTTTACCTGCATCCAAGGTCAAAAACATTTTCATTTTCTCCTAATGTGCATTTAACATCTAAAAGATTACCAAACAATTAGTTTTGAAGATTTGTACTCTGCTCTGATTGGTCAGATCATGGCCAAGTCTGTTGTATCTAGGCTTACTTGTCGGAAACAAACATATTTTTGTTGCGCTTATTAAGATTGCAAGGGGCTCTCAATGAAATTCTCTCATTTTAAAGGCACAAAATGAAAGATTTGTACATTAAAATATCCAACCCAGGCTCATTCTGTAAACGTTACCCCACGGACATTTCTGGAGAACACGAAATATGTCCCGAGAGGTACGTATTTGTGCAGTTTTTGTTTCCGCGAGTCCGCGAGAGGCGTTTGAGACGCGAAAAAGCGTTCACATCGGCCTCTCGCCTGCACTATTCTCGCGTAAAAAGCCGCCGGAGGCCGCTGTCGATCATCTGTCCAACTGACCGACTGGCTGAATGACTGAACAATTGACTGGGCGACCAGCCAATCAGCCGACCCGGCCGCCCTCCACCTCCTGCCCTAAACCCAAGCGACGATTTACCAAAGCTTTGCGGAAAAAGAAAAGCCTTCGTCCGATTTTGACCCCGTTTTCGGATTTCACCACATTCTCGCCCCGTTATGAACTCGTTCGTTTTTTTTTTTTCTCCAGAAACTTCTGTGGGGCCATGTTTTCAGAATGAGCTTGGGTTGGAAATATTCCAAAAGCACTAGAACAGGGATGTCAGACTCAATTCCTGGAAGGCCGCAGCCCTGCACAGTTAAGTTCCAACTCTGCTCCAACACACTTGCCTGTAGGTTTCAAACAAGCCTAAAGGACTCAATTAGTTTGATCAGGTGTGTTTAATTAGGGTTGAAACTAAACTGTGCAGAGCTGCGGCTCTCCAGGAATTAAGTTTGACATCCCTGCACTAGTACTTATGTACTCAAATATACCCAAATGTTTTTAAGAATATTCAAATTCAAGGAAATGTGAACTAGTGAGATGGAGCATGACCTGTATGTTCATGCCATACCTGTCAACCCTCCCTTTTTCCCCAGGATTCTCTCGTATTTTACAATTCTATCCTGCTATCATCCCATGAAGGTATATTCTCGTATTTCTCTTGTATTTTTTTTATCTTTCTATAAAGGGTAGCAATAAATTTCAATGAGCCAATTCTCCCTATAGACCATCAGTTTGAGGGTTGTAAACAAAAACAATGGTCCCAATGTATTTCCTGGTTTGCATTTTTAATTTTTACAGCTTCCGAGAATCTAAAAAGAGCCACATATTGATAAATAATGTTATTATAGCTGTTTTAACGTTAAGATATGATTGAATTGCCTATTTTTACTGTTATTAAATAGTTTGATGACAAGCAGGAAATGTTCATGGGCCAATGACATGACCACATTAAAATGGTCTTTACGTAACCCATACCGCTGAACCACCAGGGGACGCCCCTTGCTCTTAACCTGTGAATCTGTTCCGTCCTTTCATTTTATTTATGCATGAAAAGGCTTTAAAATAAATTATAAAAAAGGTGGGATTCCTTTCCTTTCCATTCCCTTCCTTTCTTTCCGTTTCCCTTCCCATGCAGTCCTCAAAACAGTCAGTTCATGCAGCAAGGCTGACTAACTAGACACTGTTTTCCTTATTTTCACATCCCAATGTTGACAGGTATGGTTCATGCTAAGTAATATAAACATAGTAATATAAACATGCTAATAGCGTCACTCATTTTGATTTCCAGTTCAGTTTTATAGAAAACAGAGAAACAACAAATATGCTATTAGATGTTGTTTTTACTCCACAGAGCAACATTATAAAACAAACCCAAAATGTATTTAGTCTGATAAAACAGTGCTGCTTCTTTTCCACAAGTGTTGGACTGGCATAATAAAAGCTTAGCTGCTTTTGTGTCAAGCTCATCTGTCATCAATGATTGCTTCAGGGTAAACTTTTCCTTATGAAGGGCCAAAAACCAAACTTGATGTGGGGGGCTGAAGGTAAATATACCGAACTGTATTACAGTAAATTTACCATGGTGATTTCCTAATTTAATTATATTTAAAAATAAATAGAAAAAAACTTGCAATACTTATATTAATAATTATATATTTTATTTTACATATTTAGATGTATGTCTTACAATAAAACCATAAACAATCCCATTTATGACACAATGCTGAATGTTCTAGACAAGCTGCACCTGCCTTTGCCTTGATTTGCTTATCGATGTCTTGTGCTCTATCTTTAAGGTAAAAGTATGTATTTTTAAAAATCTGATTACACAACATTTAATTTCAACTATTTTTTTTTGTAGTTCAATAAATAAACAAAAGGATATGTTAAATTAGAAATGACAATCTCTGTTGTAGCATTCACCCCAACCTTAGCATTATTCTCCCTATTTTCTCAGATAGGGTGGTGAGCCAAATCAAAGGTTATCATAGGCCAAGTTTGGCCCATAGAGCCTACTTTGGGTATCTCTGCTTTAAACAATAAAGTGCACATATAATGTACTGTACTTGCGTATATTGCGCAATGATGTTTATTGCTTTCTATTAGACAGACACTAAATGAAACAATGTTTAGAAATGTATTAGATGTGGCCTAATGCGGTTGTGTTTATCATCCGGTGTGTGACTTTGAATCTGTAAAATCTCTCAGCGAGCGATAGTAGGTGTTGGTGCTAACTAGGTGTCATTGTGCTTTTTTTTCTCCTGTCTGACTTTGAACTGCGTGGATACGTTGCAAGTCAAAGTTCCAGAACACACCCACTGATTGCGTAATCATCACGGACTAATGAGAGCTTAAAGGTTTTTAGGACCAAAACAAACTCCCCCAAAAAGTTCACTTTGGTCAGCTGTTTCCAACTGTTAAAATAAACTATAAAGGCCGGAATTGGTTTAATATGACGTCATTTCAGTTCATTTTTCCATTTTGTATATAAGTATACAAAGGCCTTAAGACCCATTTTGGCAGTTCAGAATTGATTCTTTGCTTTAGAAGACTTTGTTGTGCACTTTAATCTTTAAAACCTTGCAGACCTTTTTCATCACATAAAAATGAATCATATACAGATGTTTATGTATGTATATATATATATATATATAT